GCGCGGAGCTGGACGCCGCATGCCTTGAGAAATGCGGACTGGCGGGGAACCACGCGCATGATGAGGCGGCTGGCAGCATAGGCGCGCGCGACACGGCAGGCGGGCATGCACGCGCGAAAGAGGCGGCGCCTTAATCCTCGAGGACTAGGGCAAGGCGAGAGGCGGTGGCCGACTTGCGCACGCGTAGGAGAGGAAGAGAGGTGGTTGGAAGACTTGGTGTGAAAGCCAAGAAATTTTGTTTCCAACTAGCATAATAATTAGGACACTTAATATTTTATTGCTTTATTAGATCCCTTGGTAGATTAGGCTTAGAAATAATTTTGTGCCTATATAAAGGCCCCATCCCCATGTTATTTGGAATCATTCAAGAAACCAATAGAAATTTAGAACTTTGTTCTTCCAACTTTGCTTTAGTCTTTTCACCAGAATACTATTGCAATTTTATTCGTTTCAATAGGCGCGGTTGTGGCTAGAGAAACACTATCGGCGATTCAAGGCGCGGGTTAGCGGCTTATCGGCAGTCGAAACACACGATCCTCATCATTGGTGCTTTCATTGAGAGGTGTTGATCGTGTGTTTTTCTTCTACCCCTTTCCTTTTCTTTTTTTTTTCTTATTTTCGTTCCCCTTATCAAAAAAAAAAATAAAATAAAAAAAAAAAAATTCGATCGTTGATCATCATCCGCATCTTCTTCAAACACGAGTCCTCAAAGCAAAGAGCGAAGAGAGGAAAGAAAAGCCATGGCTAATAAGGAGATGAAGGACAAGATCGATAATCTCGATGTCCAATTCCGCGGCATGAGTGAGGCTATCGATACACTGGGTGAAGGGCTCGACAATACCAAGTCAACGGTGCAAGATCTAATGGAAACCATGAACCGGAGGTTTGATGAGATGGCACGCACGGTTCTCGCTCGCCTGCCACCGCCGCGACAACGCGATCAGGCGCGACAGCACGACCGCGAGCGGCCTGAAGGAGAGGATCGGCGGCGCGAGGACGACTTCGACCGACAGTCCCAGGCGTCCACCTACCACGATCGGCGTGCACCCGACAAACCGCGCATCACGTTGTGTACATTCACGGGCAGCAATCCAGAAGCATGGCTCAATAGTGCGATACAATATTTTGAGCTTAATGAAACCGACGGTACAGATCGCGTCAGGTATGCCGCTTATTATCTCGATGGTGAGGCCAATGTATGGTGGTAATGGCTCACAAGGATTTATCGAAAGCGACAGCAAATCATCACTTTGGATGTTTTTGAAAGAGAGTTGCTTACACGGTTTGGTACATCTGATTACCACAACTACAATGAGGCTCTCACACGCATACGGCAGACAGGCAGCCTACGCGAGTACATCAGGGAGTTTGAGCGGTTGGCCTGCCGCGTGCATGATTGGCCCGAAGATGCGTTGATCGGAGCGTTTGTAGGAGGGTTAAAATTTGACCTAGCTTCAGAGGTCCGACTCGAAAGGCCAGATACCATGCACGATGCGATGGAGGTTGCCCGACGACGCGAAGATCACTTGGTCGCTACGCGAAGGGGACGGGCGGATGTGCAATTCGCGGACACGCGACGCACGGGATCGAACCAAGCCACGATCAGCGCACGGCCGAACATCAGCAATCGACCAGCAGGGTCGATAGTGAGGCAACTGTCCCCCGAGGAAGTTAAACGTCGACGTGAGAAAGGCCTCTGCTTTAAGTGTGAGGAGAAGTTTACTCCCGATCATCAATGCAAACAGGCCTTTGTAATAGAGGTGGCCAACCCCGACGATGAGGAAGCTGAGGTCGAGGAGGAACCACACCAGGAAGAGGAGATTGAAGCACTCCATGAGGAGCCTGGGATCTCGATGCATGCAATGGCTGGAATCAGAGGACCAAGGACGATGCGTCTACCAGCATGGGTCAAGGACCGTCGTGTAGTCGTGCTCGTAGACAACGGTTCGTCTCATAACTTCATCAATACTGAGTTGTCTGAAAAGCTGAAGTTGCCAACCACAAAAATCGAACCCTTCGAAGTCCGAGTAGCCAATGGAGAAAGGCTACAATGTACTGAGTCGTTCCGAAAGGTGCCAATCAAGTTTAACGGAGTAACTGTGAAGGCCGATCTCTACGCCTTACCTTTAGTTGGACCGGATGTCGTTCTGGGGGTTCAATGGCTCGAGGGGTTAGGCAGGGTGACTACTGATTATCGAACAGGAATTATGGAATTCAACTCTGAAGGTCGACAAGTCACTCTGAGTACGGGCACTGAAAAAGGTACTAAGGAAGTAGGGCTGAAAAGCATCGAAAGAGTTTGGCGAGGTGGCGGCCAAATTTTTGCAGTAGTGGTCGAGAACACTAAGGTGCACATAGACCGAGATGAACAACAACAAGGTGATGTGCGCGAACTTCTCGAGGAATTCGAAGGAGTACTGGGCGAGCCTAAGGGACTACCACCGTACCGAGAGTTCGATCATTGCATACCACTGATTAATGAACAACATGCCATACATGTCCATCCTTATAGGTACGCTCACTTTTAGAAAACCGAGATCGAACGGCAAGTTGCCGAGATGCTCGAATCAGTACTATTCCAGCATAGCAAGAGTCCATTTTCTTCTCCAGTCTTGTTAGCCAAAAAGAAAGACGGTACGTGGAGGTTCTGTACGGACTACCGAGCTTTGAACGCTGCAACTATCAAGGACCGATTTCCTATCCCTAGCGTTGACAACATGCTCAATGAGTTAGCCAGGTCCCGCTATTTCTCAAAGCTCGACCTGAGAGCTGGTTACAATCATATTCGACTCCACAAGGCCGACATCCCAAAGACAGCTTTTCGTACGAACCAAGGGCACTACGAGTATTTGGTCATGCCATTCGGATTGTGCAACGCCCCATCCACTTTCCAGTTCGCTATGAATTCTATCTTCAAAGAGTATCTACGTAAGTTCGTTCTGGTATTCTTTGATGATATCCTGATCTATTCGAAGTCGTGGGGCGAACATCTTGGGCATTTGAGAGTAGTGCTCGAAATTTTGGAGGCCAACTCATTCCACATCAAACCATCCAAATGTTCATTCGGGCAGAAGATGGTTGAGTATCTTGGGCACTTCATATCACACGAGGGCGTGAAGGTTGATCCACGAAAAATTGAGGCTATGGTCGATTGGCCTAAACCAACAAGTCTCACGCAGTTAAGAGGATTTCTAGGACTCACGGGCTACTACAAAAAGTTCGTAAAGGACTATAGAACCATCGCCAAGCCATTGACAGAGATGACTAAGAAAGGCGGGTTCACGTGGACCGAAGCTAGCGAGAAGGCGTTTGGGAAACTGAAAGAAGCCATGACTACTACGCCAGTGCTCGCCATGCCAAGGTTCGATGTCTTGTTTGAGGTACACACCGATGCGAGTGACATTGGGATTGGAGCTGTGTTAGTGCAAGAGGGACGACCCTTAGCTTATCTCAGCAAAGCACTAGGCACTACACGATTGGGCTATCGGTGTACGCGAAGGAGATGCTAGCAGTTGTTGAGGCTGTAAGGTGCTGGAGGCCTTATCTATTAGGCCGACGTTTTCAGATTGTTACTGATCAGCAACCGCTTAAGCATCTATTGGAGCAAAGGATTGTTACCCCCGAACAACAGAAGTTCGTATCTAAGCTTATGGGGTTTGACTTCGAGATAATCTATCGACCGGGTCGACAGAATGCAGTAGCTGACGCACTATCCCGACGAACGGATATAGCCAAGCTAAATGCTATCACTGGGCTAGCTTGGACTATTTGGGATGAAATCAGGAAGGCGCAAGTGGAGGACACCTATTGCCAGGGGCTGCGCCAATCGATCGAAGCAGGTAAGACAACTGCTATCGACTACGAGTTGCATAATGGTCTGCTTCTACACCGAGGCCGAGTATTCGTTCCTGACAGTGGGCAGTTACGTGAGCGGATCATGCAACACTTCCACGACTCTAAAATTGGAGGCCACTCAGGTATCTACCGCACGTGGATGAGAATAGCCAACACCTTCTTCTGGCCCGGACAACAGAGTACCGTCCGAGACTACATAGCATGGGGCGACGATTGCCAGCGCACTAAGTCACACTCACGACGACCGAGCGGGCTGTTGCAACCTCTACCGGTACCCGAGGTGATCTGGGAAGACATTACTATGGATTTCATCGAGGGGCTACCGAATTCTAATGGATTTGACGGTGTTATGGTTGTAGTGGATCGTCTCACAAAGTATGCTCACTTCATACCCATTACTCATCCTTACACCGCAAAATCGATTGCCAGGTTATTTGTGGAGTAGTAATGAAACTGCATTGAGCACCGCGATCTATCGTCTCTGATCGAGATAAGATTTTCATGAGCAGCTTTTGGTCTGAATTCTTCAAATTGCAAGGGACTAAGTTGTCTATGAGCTCAGCCTACCACCCACAGACAGACGGACAAAATGAGGTAACCAACCGAACCCTTGAGCAGTATTTGAGATGCTACGTCCATCAATTCCCGAAGCAGTGGGAAAACTTTTTGCCTTGGGCTGAGTATTGGTACAACACCACTTACCATGACTCGACCAAGATGATGCCATTTGAGTTTGTATATGGGCGAAAACCCTCGACACTGATCAATTATTCGGAGGGGAGTACAGTCAATGACGAGGTTGGTGGAGAACTAGAGGAATGAGATCTGATGTTGCGAGAATTGAAGAAAAATCTCGAAGGCTCAATTAATTCAACCAAAGCCTTCGCAGATGGAAAAAGGCGTGAGGAAAATTTTGCCCCAGGCGAATGCGTCTACCTGAAGCTACAACCATTCAGACAACGCACCACGACACAAAGGGCCGCAACTAAATTGGGCGTTCGCTATTATGGGCCTTATCAGATTCTAAAGCGCATTGGTCAGGTAGCTTACCGTCTAGAGTTACCAGAAAGTTCACAAATCCACCCAGTAATCCATGTCTCGCAACTCAAGAGGAGCTTAGGAGAAGCGCAAAAGTATTGTGAGGAGTTACCAGCAACCGCAGCCGATGGCAGGGTCATAGTACGACCAAAACGAGCGATTGAGTACCGTAAGGTGAAGAGAGCAGGGCGCTACCGTTGGGAAGTACTAGTTGACTGGGAAGAGTTGCCATCCAAAGAAGCCACGTGGGAGGATCTTGACGAAATGCGTGATCAATTCCCGAATTTCATC